CGCAACGAAACTGATCGTGTACGATATCAAAGCTGAATCGTGTACGATTGTAAATGAGACCAACCAAAGTGATCGTGTACGATATCAAAGCTGAATCGTGTACGATTATTTACACGCAACGAAACTGATCGTGTACGAAATCCAAAATTATATCGTGTACGATCGTAAATGAAACCAACCAAGTGATCGTGTACGATATCAAAGCTGATCGTGTACGATTATTTACACACAACGAAACTGATCGTGTACGATCAGATGAAACGTGTTGGATATGAGATCGTGTACGATGTCATGAGATCGTATACGATATCCCAGATAGACACATTGATCCTGAATGAAAAAGGAGAAGAAAAAAAAAAACGTGAAAAAACGTCGTTATAAATCATTGGTATATTTTTTCTCTTCCAATTTTCGTCTCTTCCCTTTTTTTTCTCAATGGAAATTTAAAGTCTGAAGATCCGGAACCAAATTGATGAAAAAAATATAATGAATGAAAATAAATTAATTCGTTTCCCCTAAATTTATATATCCCTGATCGTGTACGAAATCCAAAACTGTATCGTGTACGATTGTAAACAAAACCAACCAGATCGTGTATGATATCCAAAACTATATCGTGTACGATTGTAAATAACAACCAAACTGATCGTGTACCTTATCAAAGCTGAATCGTGTACGATTAATTACACACAACCAAACTGGTCGTGTACGATGTATTGCACAATGACAAAATTCCCTACCGTAACCCCCTAGGGGAAATGTGAGAAGGGAGAGTTACGGAAAAAACCACGAGGAGATAAAAAAGATAAGTGATCAGTTTTCTAAGCTGTGATTCTTAGTTCGATTTACGCGAAATATATACATAATTTACTCCGTCAGAATCCCCTACAGATTTTGTAAGTATTCAATCGTTTATACTTTGATTTTATAGAAATGTTTAAGACAAATTTTCACATATTTTGTAATTGTTATAATTTTCAGTTCACACTCACCTACCTAACTTGACCTTAAGCCAA